TTGTGAGCCACCATGCCCAGCTGGGTTTTCTGGAGGGTGTGTGGGTGGGGATAAGAGGCAGGGCGAGGCAGGGCAAGGCAGCTATGGGGGATCGAACCTAGAGCCTTGACTGCTGACAGGTGCTCTATCTACAACCAGGCTGCATACCCAGCACACTTTTTTACTTTTTTGAGACAGGATTTCGTTCAATTGCACAGGCTGGCCTTGAATGCACTCTGTAGTCCAGGCTGGCCTGGAAGTTGTGGTCACCTTGCTTCAGGCTCCTGCCACACACTGCTATGCAAGGATAAAACCCAGACTCTAGCCAATACTCTGATGACTGGAAACCCCACAACTTGGACTCTATTAACAGAGCACAAGTCTGTGTGAGGTAGCAGGCGCTAGACTTTAGCCAACCACAGCAATGACCACATGGAACACATACTTGATAAAATTGTATTTTTTTTTTACAGTCATTTGTACAATTTGTTACAAAACCATAGAAGACTACAACTTGCTTTAAATCATTTTTGGTCTGCAAATATGTAAAATCTGTGTGCAATTATCATGTATTTACAGGGCCTTGTTAGTCATTTTCAATGATTATTTCAACAATGTCACACTCTCAACATAAGACATGGCTTAAGATAAATATATTAGTAAATAAATATTCTGAGAACATATTTCCATAAATGAAATGTGTTGCTATACATATACAGAATATACATAAGTTGTTTTCTAGCTTTAAAAACAGTTTTTCAATTGGTAATGTTGAAAAGAGCCCTTAGACCATTTTATCACAAAGCCTTTACAGCAAAGTCTTTACAAAAATCTTAAGTGCTATGGGAGAAATTAAAAAAAAAAAAAAAAAAGTGTCTTGTTAGACCAACAATACAAAAAGTTTATGTAAGGAATAGAAAAAGGCAGATCAGTTTAAAAAATATTTTCAACCAATTCTTTTATAGACCACATTTTAAAAGCATTAGTCCTGTGTGAACTTTGAGGCCAGAAGACATTGGGGAGGGTCTGAACCACAGGACTGAAGATGGAACCCAGTAACATGGCCTGGGCCTGGAGGAGAGGGGAACCGTCAGCTATGGGTGCTGTGACCACAGAGACACCTCAAGGATCAGAATGCCCAAACTTCCATTTTTATCGAATTCTAGAATTCTATAGTTGATATGACTGCTATCAAGCTTATACTTGCTATCACACACTTAGATGGTATAGAAGTTCCCAGGAGAAAGTGGGGTGCTCCTTGTCCATTATTATGCAATTACCACACACTACTGATGTTCTATTTCCCCTCCCCCTCCCCCAAAGAGGGTACTTGTTACCAGCAATGGAGCCTTAGAGCTTCACAGACTCTCTCTCTTTTTCTTGAAAGGGTGACATGAGATAGCTGACGGGTAACTTGGTTCTGGTCTGATGAGGCAGCACGAAGATGACTGTTTATAAATCTTCCTTTTGTTTCCACTACCCCAAACAAGTGTCTGCCCACCGCCGCCATCACCACTTTTTCAGGGGAGAGCCGGACTTGTTCATTTACCTTCCAGTGGCATTCAAATTCTCTATTCATTAATGTATTGTGTAAGACTACTGAGAAGTGGTTTTCTAGCCAGGGCAAAGACAAGCCTTTCTGGGGTTTGTTTCAGCCAAGGGAGAGATATGCACAGGCAGACACTAAAAACAAATAAACAAAAGCAGAAAAAACAAACAAACAACAACAACAACAAGCCATCTCAACAGTGAGAAGCTGCACTTTGCGGTCCTTGTTGAAAGCTGTGCCCCCATTCCCACTGTACAGTAAGGCAAGCTGTTGTTCTTAGCAGCTGCAACTCCTGGCCCCAGAAATAAAGGCAACCCCGATCACATGTCAACAGCTTAGGCCCTTCTCACACCCTCACTAACAGGAGCACAGCCTGGGGAGGAGCCCTCAAAGGACAGACCCCCCAGAGTTGGGTGGAAGGACAAATTTCACCATGGCCACTTCCTAAAGGTAAATGGCTGGATCTGATGTGGGGACTTCTTTCTGTCAGATTCTGGCTAGAAATAAGTCAACTGTCCTCATCTTAGGACGGGGTTTTAAAGAACAAAGCATTCCAATAGTCTCAAAATATGCAGTCTGGTCCTTGGGCTGACTTTCTGGGAGCCTGACCAGAAGAGGGGTCACTTCTGTCTCTGGCAACCCAGGGTGGCCCCCCGTTTTCCCAGGTTTCAAGGTTCCGTACTGAGCTTTCAGACCCACTAGGCCAAACTCTTTCTGGTGGCAAAAGATATCTGCTAAATGAATGTATAAAAGTGACCAGAAGAGTTAGCGACATAGGGCCAACCTGATTAGTTTCCTCTAAGGAAAAGAAAACATTTTTAAGAACAAGGACTATATTGGACAAAAAGGATTACAATCCCTGAAGTAGTTTAAATAGATTCTCTCTCCCTTTTAAAAACCAACCAAACATCTTCAAAACAACAACAAAATAACAGCAAAACAACACAACCAAAAATGGTTGGGGCTTAAAAAACTCTCCCTTCCCCTTAGAAAAGAAGAGGCCGGAAAAATATACAAAAGCCTACCCTTTGGGTCTGAACTATCTGATAGTCTGTCTCGTGGAGAATCAGTTCATAATAGTGCATCAGGCAGACAGGCTAGCAGACATCTGCCGGTGGGGTGAGCCACTGCAGCCACCAGGCAGTGGCCCAAAGAGCCCCGAAGCCACGTTCTGAGGATGGGAAACTTGTTAAAATGAAGCTTGGTGCACACCCCTGTGGGTCAAGCATGTGCCCCTTACAAAGGTAACCTAAGGAAGGGAGCAAAAGCCGAGGGGTGTGGCTGCCCCCAGACCCATGGGCACAGGTGTGCCCCAGCATGCCTTCCTTCAAGAGGCAGTGCACTGCTGCTGGGTGAGAGGAGAGCTTGTTCCTCCAGTCCCACAGGACACCAAGGCCACAAAGCAACATTCCTCCTGGGTGTCTGCCCTGCAAATCCCATTCAGATCACCTCTGCAATTGATGGCACGAAGCCCAAAACAATTTTACAGAAGACTGGAGAGCTGGACAGTAAGGGTGAGAGCGTCTCTTCCCTGCCACAGTGGTCAGAGTGCAGGAGAACGCCCAGGGACAGGGCTGGCCGTCCTGGATTTTGCTGAGACAAAGGTGATGATGGCCCAAAGGAACAGAAGAGAATGGGCACAACTGCCCCCACAGCCTCGAGCCTAGGCAGCAACGGTGTGACACCTCCCTTTCCCTCCTCTTCCTTGCGGCTTCCATGGCTGCCTACAGTGTGGGCAGGAGAGGTGTGGCTTCCCCCAAGCCCTGAAGTCTAGATTTGCCTCAAAAAAGGGGAAAAGGAGAGGCAGCTTTGCATTGTTCCTCGGAGTTTGTACCCCTATCTACTAGCTTTTGACTTCAAGTTTCTGGTCATTTCAATAAGGCAGGTGCAGCCCTGAGCTTTTCAAAGGCCTGAGGTCCCTCCGAGGAGACGACAGCATCCACACAGGATGTGGTTCATTTAATGCAGCAGTGATTTTTTTTTTTCTTTTTCAACGAAAGTTGGTGGTTAGGGTTCTTTAAAATATATATTTAAATAACTTTTTACATTACATATAACATCTTAGGAAAAAAAAAGCAGAGAACTCAATCCCACACACCTCAGAACCCCAAGCACACATTACAAAACAGAATAAAACATTATTAGAAGAGGCAAAGGACTCAAGAGATTTTTGTCTGTTGGTTTGTTAAGGGGAGGGGATGCCACAGGTGGCTCACATTTTGGGTTGAGGCGGGCTCTCTTGACTACCACTTTTGTATTTGTCAAAACTAATATATATTAGCTTTGAAGGAAGCCAGACTTTGAAGTCTCCATACAGTTTCTGATTTTTACAAAAGAGTTCCTTCTGAGCTCAAGCTCCCGTACCGATGCCTGGGCCAGATCCTGGTCCTGGGAGAGAGAGGGAGAACAGCCATCAAGGTTGCGGAGAGAGAGAGCTGGCACAGCAGGCTCTGGGCAGGATGGACCAGGGAAGGCGGGGCGTTTGGGAGTGACAGTTCACAATGGTGGGTGGACTATGTGAGTGATACGGGGGAGGGGGGGCAGCAATGGCTTCTTTCCTGAGGGGCTCAAGTTTACACAGTTGTTTCTGGGGGGCAGGTCTCCCTTGTTTGGCTATAGAGAATCTTCTGGAAGCCCTGGGATGTCATGGAAGCATACCGTAGAAAAGTGAATTAATTCCTAGTGGCACCGAAAGAGCAGGAGACCCTTCGGCACACCCTTCACAGATCACACAGACCCTCCCCTAAGTGGGTGCCTGGCTTGAGGAGACTTAGCAGAGAGCAGAGGGAGTCACTGATACAGACGGGAAAGGAAGGCCACTTAGCTGACTACTGAGCTCTAGAGAGGTCTGGAGAGGAAAAGGAACCTGACATGCTGCAGGGATGGGACAAAGGCTGGATCAAGGGAGCAGTTCCATTTAGAAGACATTTGTGTACCTTTAATCCCAGCACTTGGGAGGGAGGCAGGGAGATCTCTGAGTTCAAGGTCAGCCTGGACTACAGAGTGAGTTCCAGACAGCCAGAGCTACACAGAGAAAACCAAAAACCAAAACCAAACCAAAACCAACCAACCAACCCACTCCCCACCCTCCCCCAAAAGACATCTTACGTCTTATAAAGGCAATGAGTCATTACAGCATTTCTAGTGTAAGGACCGTAATTCAGGTCTCCCAAGTGGGGCAGTAGGCAAGTGCATTGAGGTCTGTCAGGAGGATTTTGCTAAGAGGCACAGGGATGGACTAAGGGGACCATGGAGATGCACAATAGTTGATGAAATTGAGATTGCTTTTGGGGTGTGAAGCATCTGAAGGGAAGAGATGCGGACATCATGGGTAGAGGGTTTGAAGACAGGCGGGGCTGAGAAGCAGTGTTGGAAAGCCATCAAGTACAGAAGCCAAGTCACAGAAGAAGCCAAACAGAAGAGGCCTGAGAAGAAGACCCCTATACAAATACCTACTATCATCTGTTCTCACCTGACGCCTCAGCAGCCAGGGCATGGGACTCCTGAGTGTCCTGGGGGGGACTGGAAAGGCTAGCCCTGGAAGCATCTGCCTCCTCTGGAGAGCAGCCAGGCTGCAGTGGCACCTCGGCTTGGTAGCATGGAGCCTGTTCCTCTTCCCGGGTTGTCCCCAGACTCCAGTGGAGTCGGGGGACGTCCAAGCCCAGCATCCCACCCCAGGAGCTGTGGCTGTGTATCCCTTGACAGTCTTGAGGCAAGCCCGTGTCACAGTCTACATCCTCTGGAATAATGGGGATGCGCTGGCTCAGGTCCCGGGCCCCTGCATAGCAGCTGGGTGGGGGTTCCTCGGTGAGTGTGTACTGCACACTCACTGAATAGTCTTCAGTGTAGCAGCCATTACCCCTGCCAGCACTGTGGGCCACCTGCTTCTCTTCATAGAAGCAGCAGGGCAGGCCCTCATATTTCACCCCATCTGTCCTGGGAAAATGGTCCGAGTGAAGGCCACACAGGCCCTGGGAGGCCCCTGGCTGTGGGTCTCCACTTGTAGGGTTGCAGTCCTCCAGGAGCCGGGGACCCAGGAATAAGGCGCTGCCACCAGCAGCTGCTCCTGCTCCAGGGCTCAGGGAAGAGGGCTGGGGATCGAAGCAGCAAGCACATGACGGTCCCTCTGGGCCCCCTTTCCATGTCCTCCTGAGGTCCAGGGCGGCCCCAGGAGAAACCTCGAGCCCCACTTCTGAGGTAGAGCTGTTGGGCCCTCTGGGTTCCAGTGAGGAGTTGCTGCTGTAGTTCATCTCCAGGCTGCAGGTGGACAGCTGGTCCCCTGAGGGAGAGGCAGGGCCTAGCCATGGCTCACCCCGCCCAGCACCTTGACTGTGTGCTGCTGGGAGCTCCTCTGGTGGTGGGGAGCCCTCAAGGTGTACAGTGGGCCCCCGGCTTCGGTAGATGAAGGGGTCATAGTCACTGCTGAGGGAGCTGCGGAAGGTGGAACAGCTCCCATACACACCTTGGTTGCTAACTTCTGTGCAGTCCACCACCGAGTCGCTGGAAGAGCAGCGGCACTGGCCGGAGCTGTTGCTGCTGCTATCACTGCCAGGACAGTCTGCCAGATAGCCACTGCACACAGAACGGTGCCCGTGGTAGCAGCTGAAGCTGGAAGTGCTGCCGCTCTCCACGTGGGTGGGAGGGGCCATGTGCACCACAGTGGGAAAGAGAAGGCTGCTGCCACCACTTGGTGGAAAGGCACGGGATGGGCCCCTGGGTGCAAGGCTGGGTATCGGCTGGCCCTCCTGCTCTGGGTAGCTGAGACCCTGGAAGTAGTAGTGTTGGTACATGGTCTCATACTGGGAGAAGCAAGCTGCCTTGGAGAAGCTGCGGCCACTGAACTTGGGCCTACGGAAGGGATGGGCTGGTGAGTAGGCCCGGTGTTCCAGGCTGCAGCGGTGAGGGGCCAGAGTGTGGTCCAAGTGCAGGGGTGGGTAGCCACGGATGTAGGTGGAGGTCTGTGGAGAATAGAGGTTCTGCTCCCCATGCCGATCCATGGTCAGCAGTGTGACAGGATTGCCATGGGCGTCCATACTTGTCCTGGTAGGGTAGGCTGGGATGGCATTGGTCCTATGCACACGGCCTGGGTAATGTACCGGCAGGGTCACTCTTGGCTGTCGACCACGTGTAAGGTTGCCGGTCTCCACACAAACAGCACCCGGATTTCCCTTTTGCTCTGGAAAAGGTGGAGGAAACAAAATAATGGGCAGAGGCTGAAGCATCAAGGGAAGCTGTGTGCCAGGGAGACTCTGCTTGACCCTGCCACAGTGTAAGCTGAGCCAAGTTCAGCTGAGCTGGCAGAGGCTGACCTGTCTCTTTCCATCTCCCCAAAGTCTACTGAGAGCAAAACAAACACAACAATCAAAGGGTCTCCCACCCTGCTCTGTAATGATGACGTGGGAGCTGCAACAAACAGTGCTACTGCATATTCATCACCCCTGTGTCTCTGGAAACAATCCTGTAGCCTAGAACTGGGCAGTCAACACTACTGTCACCTGTTAAAGAGACAGGAGGCTTTAGGCCTAGGGAGGCCAGGTCAGGATGGCAGCCGGGGTTTGTTGTTCTCTACTTCCCTTAGACATGTACTCTGGCCTGGCCTCCAACTTGCTATGTAGCTAAAGATGACCTTGAACACCTGCCTCTACTTCCCAAGTGCTGGGTATCCCATGTGTAGACCAGCATACCCAGCTAGGGTCCTGTTTAATTGGAAACCCAAACTTGAATGCAAGACGGATTTTCTTTAGAGGGGGAGCAGCAGGGTGAGGGGTGTGTCAAACCTGGGACCTTGCATGCTCTAGGCAACAGTCTACTACTGAGCCATATCACCTGCCCCTAAAAGGGATCCTCAATGCCAGGCTCTGCTTAGAACTGTGCAGCCAAGTTTCAGACCTGAGTCCTGCACAGCTGCAGGCCCGAGGCCCACGCTGTGCTGCTTCAGCTTGCTCATGAGCATGCATCAAGGACTTATCACACTGTGTAGGACGGTGTCCTCCGAGGCCCTAACAATTACCTATGATGTTGTGCCGACAGTGGGGGCAGGTGTGGTGCTGCAGCAGCCACGGATCCACACATTTCCTGTGGAACCGATGGGTACAGGGGATGACCCGAAGCTCCTGGAAAGGGGAGAGAGAGGGACATAGCATGAAGGAAGGGTACTTCTGCCTTCAGTCTCACACATATGCCTCCTCCAAAGGACCCTACGGGGGACAGAATAGCCCTGTGCATACGGTGTGCTGGTGCCCTCCTGCTAGAATATGGATCTTAAGGAGTCCTAGCTTGGCAGTACCAGGAAGGAGGGCCTAGTGGGACCTGGTTTCCTCACTCCCTCTTTTTTATATCCTTCTGGTAAGCAATTTTGAAGATCTATTTATTTATTCTTATTTTTTATTTTTATTTTTTAGGTTTCTTGAGACAGGGTTTCTCTGTGTAGCCCTGGCTGTCCTGGAATTCACTTTGTAGACCAGGCTATCCTCAAACTCATAGAGACCCACCTGCTTCTACTTCCCAAGTACTGGCATCAAAAGCCTGCACCACCACCACCACCACCACAACCACCACCACCACCACCACCACCACCACCACCACCACCACCACCACCACCACCACCTATTTATTTATTTTTAAGTCTGATGATAAATTTTATTAGAGCTAAAGAGAAAACTTTCAGGGCAGGAAAGCAGTGTATCTCAGCAGTTGCTCAGAAGAGAATGGAGGAGAGAAGGGAGCCATGCCATGTGAGTTTAGCTGGCACAAAGGTCAGATACATGGAGAAAGATCAAGGAAGAAGAAAAGAAGACAGATTTTTCTGAGTAATTCAGAAACACAGGCAGACTTACAAAGCAGCACAGCTGCATTTTGCAAGAGACTGCCTTATTTTTTACTTTTTTTTGGTTTTTAGAGACAGGGTTTCTCTGTGTTGTTTTGGCTGTCCTAGAACTGGCTCTGTAGATCAGGCTGGCCTTGAACTCACAGAGATCTGCCCGGCCTTAATTTTTACTTTTAATTATATGTGTGCACGCTTACAAGTTTGTACTGAGTATGTGCATGTGAGTGTAGTTGCCTAAGGAGGGTGAAGAGGGCGCTAGATTCCTGGAGCTGGAGTTGCAGGTAGCTGTGAACCACCCAACCTGGGTTTTAGAAACTGAATTCAGATCCTCTCCAAAAGAAACATGCGCTCCTAACTACTGAGGCATCTCTTCAGTCCTATCCATCACATGTTCTTGTCATGATATGCTGCCTCCCTATTAGCCGAAAGGATTACAGTCAAATGATCACGGGCTAAAATGTCTAGAACTATGTGCTCAAACAAACCTTTGCTCTTTATATGCTTATTACTGCAGACATTTGTTATAGGAATGGAAAGTTAAAACACTTTCTACTCTCTCCCCTAACTCCAACTAAAGGCCAGTTTCGTTCCTTAAAGTAGGGCCCATAGGGAGAAGGAAACTGCCCAATCCACTTGGCCCAATCACATTCCTTAGGGTTAAAGGACAAAGAATACAAGGCAGCGGGTTCCTTTCCAGGAGCTGGAAGGTACACCTAAGTCCAGAGCCTCGGGCTAGGGAGCATGGGGTTTGCAGGGAGGGTTACAAACACCCCAGGTCACCTATGTTGGTGTAGAGCAGTGGTTCTCAGCCTATGGGTCGTTCCCCCCTCAACCATCCAAAAGCACAGGTATTTTCATTAGGATTCATAACAGTAACAAAATTACAGTTATGAAGTAGCAAGGAAAATAATTTCATGGTTGGGGTCAGCATACATGAGGAACTGTATTAAAGGGTCACAGCATAAGGAAGGCTGAGAACTGCTGCACCATCTACAGATGTTTGCTTTTAGGCATCCTTGAAGGAGGTCAAGTAGAAAGGGATACTTGCTGGGGCCACCTGGCTTCTAAGGAAAGCAGCCTATGACAGAATGTAATGGGCTTTCCAAACAGTCTCCTGACTGTTCTTGTTACTCTGCTTTTATTTTCTCACCAGTCTGACACAGTGATACTCACACTGATAATCAATGTGGTACTTCAGAATGTCTGTACTTTCTCACCTAAGTAGCGTTTGTGAGCATCTAGTATGCTGGTTGGCATCACAAGTGCAGACACAGGATGAAGCCACTTGCCAAGTTCACAAACCAAAAACCTGCCTGGGCTAGGTTGGAACCCAGGAGTCTGTACTTATAGTCTATGCAAGAGTATCATTCCAAGAGCCTGCGTGCAAATACACTTCCGCCCAGCAATCTACATCAGTGGGTGCTCTCATCCAGGGGCTGTCCGAGGCCTGAACTCTCAAGCATTTTGCTCCCTACTTTGTGTGCACCTAACCAACTAGAGACAGGCGTAAAGATAGCAAAACACTGATGAGAGGTGGTTCTAGGTGGGCGGTTTATGCTGCTCCTAGTACTTTTCTTGCAACTTCTAATAAAGAGCTACCAGTGGGGGCGGGGGAAGGCATCAAATCTCTTGCCTTTTTCCAAGTAATCACTTCTTAGAAGCAAACCAAACAACTTGTTCTTGCATCTACGTATTTTCTGTCTAACCATGTCCTTTTTTGTTTGTTTTCTTTTTGGAGTGAGGACCTCAAACTCACAATTCTCCTGATTAACATCTCAAGTGCTAGAACTAAAATGACTGGCATGTGCTACCATGCCTGGAATCTACGTACTTTTGATCAACGTCTAAAGTCATCTAGTTAGCTAGACCATCTATAGAGTACTGTGTCTTCCCAGCTCCTAGGAGAAATACTGGTAAAAGCCTGGACATTTGAATCAAGGTTGTGGGGAACTCTGGTCATGGTGGTCCCCAGCACCTCTGGGAACCCGTACATCCCTTCCCCACTCAGCGGCCTTGTCTCTGTCACTACCTCTCCATCAATGTACTTCTCCAGACAGATGGCACAGTCAGACGTGGACCCGCTGCTAAGTGTATCCAGGGCCCCGCAGCTTCCTTCCCGGCGCCCCTTGCTCTTGGAGTTGAACTTTCTGGTTTCCATCTTCTCCAGAGCCTGCACGGCCAACCTGTTCATGGAATTCTGCATGGTAGAACATGGTCAGTGTTGGTACACATTAACAGTGGTAGTCACACCCCGGGCCATGTCACACAGGACACTGGGACAGACTCACTCAGGCCAAACAGACTCTTGAGAAACTGCTCAAAACTCATCCTGTCACTGTATTTTTCTAGACCCTTAAGAGTACTCATAGGCCAGGCGGTGGTGGCGCATGCCTTTAATCCCAGCACTCGGGAGGCAGAGACAGGCGGATCTCTGTGAGTTTGAGGCCAGCCTGGTCTACAGAGTGAGTTCCAGGACAGGCACCAAAGCTTCACAGAGAAACCCTGTCTTGAAAAACAAAACAAAACAAACAAACAAAAGAGTGCTCATGACATTGGTCCAAGATTTTCCCAAGTGACCCTACTCCAAAGTCTTGCCTTCAAGGTAAAAGCTAATTCCCTGTCTTTGGTACTTCTCAACTCTGTGGGAGCTTGGTTTTCAGAAGGCCCTATGCCAAATGCTAGGGAAATGAGAGTTCACGCAAGTGCTCAGCATCTGATATACAGCGTGAGTGCATAAATACCAGCCCATAATCCCTGTTCTTGCTGGTGATGGCTCCTCAGCCCTGCTGACAACTGAAACCCTTCTCTCCAAGGTGTCCCACTGCCACACATCTCCAAGTCTAGGTTCCTGCTTACCCTCTTCTCACCACCCTCTGCCTGCAGGTCTTCTGCTATGGCTACCTGTTTATCAAGAGTCACCAGAAGGGCCTGGCAGGGCAAATGTCATCACAAGACCTGGGGACCTGACAGTCTGTATTTCTACCAACCTTAGATCTATCTGAGAAGCAAAGGTCTTATGCTCCAAAACAACATTTATTTGGACATTTCCCTCAGACTACTAGCTTGCAATACCCCCAATGCTGAGGCCTTTGCAGGCCTGTCCTTTTCAACATGAGGGCTCAGCACTTGAGGTTTGACATTCTCCAGGCCCCTGAGAAAGGACGGGTGTCATGGACAGCAGGTTGGCTAGACTCCTAACTTTCATCAGCAATAGGGCAATGGGGTTCACAGGTTGTTCTTAGGGGTTACCTGACTACGACGCTGCTTCAACTTGATTTTGACAAGGAGAATGAGGCAGACCAGGGAGACCACGACGAAGAAAGCCAGGAAAATCCCCATGTCAAAGTACTCGGTGGGTTGCTAGAATAGAAGACAAATGCCATGAGCCATGTTCTCTTTGGCCTGATTGTGGGCATGTGGGCTGTCAGTCCTGGTCAGGAAATGGAATGGATGAGTGAGACAGGATCCCTCTGTGTGTAGGAAGTGCCTGGGTTCTGCTCACATGAACACAGGATGGGGTGGGGAGCTACAGTGGTCCTGGGCCTCCTAGGAGCTGAGAGCCATTTGTAAAGTTGGGCCTCCCATTAACACAGTGCCAAGTTTGGTATACCTAGAGAAAGGCTCCTCTGGATAAACACAAATAATCAGTTATAGACAAAGGAGTGAGTGTTGTGTTTTGAGGGAATAGTGATTACTAAGCATATAATTAATGGTTTACAACAACTCAGAAAATTGTATGGTGCTTCCACAAATATCAGCTTCCACTACAATGAATCACGTTTACCAAAGAGTTCCTTTTTCCTTTAAAATGAAGCCAGCAATTCAGTTCTGCAAACAGCCCTTATTTTCTTGGGGTGGGGTAGAGGGTATGAGGCAGCATTTATCCTCAGCTGGTCTTGACCTTGCTATGTAGCTGAAGATGACTCTGAATTCTAACCTTACTACCACCACCATCTAAGTGCTGGGATCACAGGTGTGCCTTATGGGGGGGGCTTTAGGTAGTGCTTTGCGGCTGCTGGACAAGTCCTCTACCAACTGAGCTACACTTGGCAGCTCTTATCCTTTCTGCACACAACACTGCCTTCTGCCACCGGAAGCTGCTACACCTTGGCCATCCACTTAGCCAATGAAAACAGGACCCTAGTGAGATGCTGTGCTACCCAGATACTTGGTACAGGCAGAAGAACCATTCTACATGGGAACAGTTCAGTTAATTGTGAGGAGGAAAGAAAACACATATGGCCACCAGCCCCAGATTATCCAAGGTTAAAGAGAAGATGTCAGTCAAGTATCAGTGGGCAGTAATATTGCTTTAGCACAGCCTGACTGATGCTGTAACCAACGAATGTCGGTCCCAGGCCCCAGTAATTCTTAATGTTCTTATTTGTGAGTCAGGGAGTTTTAAGTGAGCAATCTACCTGTCTGAAAGGAGGAAATGTAGGCCTTTTCTCATCTCTAAACCAAGCGCTACCCATGTCACCCCTTTATCTTTCTCAGCTTGTCTCTCAGAAGGATGGGCTGAAAAGGGGCAACACCAGGTGGAGAGACCAGAGACTTCACAGCATACAATGCCTATTCTGTAAGCTTTTACAAATTTTTACAAATAAAGAAACTGAGGTGAAAATTTCTGTTTTCCTGCCCCATAGTTGAGCTCAACCATAGGCACCTACACTATACCAGGATTCCAGATGGAGGGACAAGAGGCAGAAAGGCGAAGCTCACAGGAAACAAAGGCACTGGGAGGACAGCAGACATGTCGCCACTCACTCGAGGAGGGAGGTGCTGGATCCTTGCTCGAGCTACTTTCTGCTTGTTGACAATGTTCATCAGCTTGATGGCATCTGCACCCTTCACATACACCACTGGCCTCTTAAGAGGGTCTTCTGAGCCTTGGTTCAGCTGACAAAGAAGACAGGGAACCAATTAAAAGACATGCTTACTTTAAGAAGCAAGATAGGGTTTGGGATGCGGCTCAGTAGGGGAGCACTTGTCTTGCACATGCAAGGTCTAGCTTTCATCACACACACGCACATACACACGCGCACACACACACACACACACACACGCATGTGTGTACAAGCATATGCTCTCATGAATGCACACATAACAAAGAACACTAAATCCCCACTTGGAAATTCTTTAAGTCTTCAAGCATTATAGTCTTGGGATTCTCAGAAAGGGGAGGATAGGGTGCTATACTTGTTTTAAGATTGGCTGAGCTGGCTGAAAGCCCAGAGGACTATTTGAGAATGTCCCTCATTCCTAACTCCCGACCCATAACCACTTTCTATATGCCTCCCTCAGGGTATGATACTCAACATAGGCAGGCATATAGTAATATACTTCAGCAGACAGACAGACAGGTGCAAAGAATCTGAGACAGGGGTGTCACAACAGTGCCCACTCAAGATAAGCAAAGCAAATGCCTCTCAGACAGACAGTAGAACTGGTTTTGGTGGAGCTTTACCTGGTCGATGGCTTCTGGGTTTTCAGATACATCAAAGATAACTGCAGTGGCCCCCCGCTGAACTGCTCTCTTGGCCTGGTGGAATGAAAAAAGCAGGTTGGTACTGTCTTCTGACCCTGCCAACACTGGCCTTACAAATCAGCCATGGCTTCAAATGCAGAACCAGACAGCACACAATATCCGTGCCTCGGAGCAAGTTGTTCTACTTCCCCAAGCCTGGACATTCTCATCTGAAAACAGAAGATACCGCCACCTACTTTGTCCTATCATCCCAAGAGCCCGGTGACTTAGAATGGGTGAAAACGAGTAACAGATTACTGTAGAAGCCTGTCTCCCCCATCGCTGGAACATTAAAAACAAGTCTATGGGTGGGCAGCTTGCCCAGCCAGTACAGAGGTACCGGCTTTAGTATTTTCTGCTATGAACACACTGCCCCTGGAAACCAGAGTGAACGCCTTTGGTTTGTCTCTTGTGGTCCTTTTTTCCTTCCCGTGTCATCCAGTTAGAACAGAATGTTGACTATTTCTGAATGAATCTCAAAATGGTCTCTTTTAACACGTGACACAAGCTGAAGACCTTTGGAGACACTGTTGGGGGGTTACAAGAAATAATAAGTGGGGATTTAGAGCAGTTGGCTGCCAAGCCTGGCTTCACATCAAAAACCACTTGGGAAGTTTGTAAAGCAGATTTCCTGGCTCTAACCACAGACGGTTTCAGTGGAGCTGGAGACAGGCTCAGGAAGCTGAGTTCCGTAAGCTCTCGGGTCCCGGCTGATCCCACCAGTTGGAAAACCAGAGGTCAGAGGGACAAGACAAGAAGGCTCAGAAACAAATAAGTGATAGAAATTTTTTTTGATGTTGGGGTAGAGGAAAAGATGGAAGAAAAGATTCCTTTCCACCTCAGTGAACCTTCTAATTTTATCTCCAGCTGAGTGAACAACAGAGTTGAGTCTGCAGAAGAAGAAATGAGACAGACCCCCCCTTGCTTTTAGGATTTGAACTAGTGTAACAGCGACAGCCACTCTACACACACACACACACACACACACACACACACACACACACACACACACGGAAAACAAAACAAATTCCAAAACCAGCATGTTAAAAGATGGGCAAATATCATCCAGTGCTCAGAGGTCATGTCACTATGGGCCCAAACAGTGAATAAACCCAATAAACCCAATAAATAAACAGAGAATAAATCCAAATGCCTTCCACAAGAATAATCTGTACTGACAGGTGCAAAAACCCAAAGACCATCAACAATAACAACTAATGACTTCACTGGACCACTAGAGGGCAGTGTCACCTCGTTGCTTATTAAGCCACTCAACTGCACTTGGGACCCAAGTTAAAAATGAGTGACACTGGGGATAAAGCATGTTCCTTGGAAGCTTAAGAAACCCAGGAATCCTGGGTACAGTGCTGTAGGATTTGTCCCTGTCCTACAGGTATCTTCCTTAAACACAAATTGAGACTGAAAAATCAGAAAGTCAGCTGAGGGTTACACTTCCGTTTTATGACCAGTGGGGCTGTTCCTCCTAAACTTCAGTCTTTCACTTTTTCTGCTTGGTAGTGCTGGGGTCAAACCTGGGCTTTGTTCATGCTAAGCAAGCGCTCTAGCACTGCATCTTAAGTCACTGCATCTTTCAGTCCAGCCTCAGAACAGCTAAGGTGGCATGACTGTTCTTTTCCATTAAGCTCCTTAGGGCAGCAGGCCTCTACTTGAGACCGCAGCTCCTAGACTCCTGAGTAGGTGCTTGTGTTTCTGCCCCAGTGGTACAGTAGGCTTCCTCACAAATTCCATTCCCAGAGGAAGAAATGAAGAGGGCCTCTCTTTCTTTTATTCTGCTTTCATCCAGGGATCCAGCATATCAAACAGTACTTGTGGGGAGCGTGAGTTCAGATATGTCCTGACTGGAGTGCTTGTCTCTCCAGCTTTGATGCTGGTGCACCTGGAAAGGCTGGCAGAGGCTGCAGTGCCTGGGTAGGGAATGCCTTCCTGGAATGTGCCTTGGGGAACCACACAGCCAGAGGGCCTCCTTGGCTTCCCAGTATTTCTTGTTTCACAAGAACATGAATGTTCATTTGTTTCAGAGGCATGACCCATTCAGGACAGATATCACAGAGCTGGGGGGTGAACCCTGGGCCTCATCCATGCCAGGTATATACTTTACCATGGGGCTACATTATCAGTTGTACAAAAGATGCTTTAAGACATAAATGATTTTGTCAGGTATGGTGGCGCACATCTTTAATCCCAGCACTCGGGAGGCAGAGGCAGAGGCAGAGGCAGGCAAATCTCTGTGAGTTCCAAGCCAGCCTGGTCTACAGAGTGAGTTTGAGGATGGCTAGTGCTATACAGAGAAACCCTGCCCCGAAAAACCAAACCAAAAACAAGCAAACCAACCAACCAAAAACATACCTTGCTTCTTTGGTGAGGAAGAGGCAGGTAGAGAATGAAGTGCTTAGCTCTGTCTCATTTACAACCCATCCTCAGACAAATCACTAATGTGTGGAATCTCAGGAGAAGTCCTGTGGCTGAGCAAATGCTCAATTTTCAGTGAATTACATTAAAAATTTTAGTTATTGAAGCTGGAGATGCAGCACAATTCATAGAGTGCTTGTCAACCACCCATGAAGCCCTAATATAAAGGGGTCCTTAGCATGATATAAAACTTGGTATGGTGTCTGTTAATTGCAGCATTTGAGAGGTAGAGGCAGGAGAAATCATAAAATTCAAGGTCATCCCTGTAACACAGAGTTTAAGGGTGGTTTGGACCATGTGAGACTCTCTATTTTTGGTTTTTAGATTATACATATAAGCTGCTACTGAAATAATTTGCATTTCCAGCACATAACAGGACTGGATGGAAGGAGATCCTACTGAGATCTTGCTTGTTGAGAGGTGGGTGGCTTTAGAAAAGACTGATGGCTGGGGATGTTACTCAGTGGTAAAGTGTGCTTACTCCTAAGTTTATTTAATCCTCAAGAAAAGGCCACAAGTAACCTTCATTTACAAAAGGGGAACTTTCATTATACATTGAAAACATAAAATATTGCTTGGTTACACTTTTCCTCCTGCCCCAATGCAATTCTAAAAACTTGAGGAGCCAAGTTTGCCAATTTTATCTAGTCAACCTCCTACCAGATTACTGTAATCCAAACAAATCTAACTCCTAGCTAGAAGATTACCAGTCTTGTGACTAGAGTAAAGTTTATTTTTATAATGTTGTACCCCTAAAGCTGCTTGAAAGGATGGGAAAGACACAGCATGGTGGGCATGGCAGGTGAGGGTCACTGGCAAGCTGGGTTCACAGGAATGGAAGAGCAAGAAAAGGCTGTGGCTTTCTCAGAAGATGTGTGATATCTCGGCAAAACCAAGCGGCAGCCAAAGCCTTGCTAACCCTTCCCATCAGTCTTCAAATTGCTTCTATCCTCACTTAGGACAACATAGGTGGAACCAAAGGGGGGGGGGCAACCAGAAGCACGGTGGCAAGGAGATGTCTGCAGTGATACAGGTGACAAAGCACAGTGGCAAGGAGATGTCTGCAGTGATACAGGTGACAAAGGACAAACTCTGTGTACTTCTATTTTACAAAGCACAAGATTTGCAGCCTCAGAAGGCAGGACCCTGCTAATCACTTATCACTTCTAAGATGATTCTATCAATGGTCAGTAGACTGAAAGAAGTCTGTCTGGGACCATACTCAGGTTATGGCAAGTAGAGAAAGTGCTTCCTGGCCATTGGGGTGGTTCTTCCATAAGACCAAGTCTATAAACTCCCAATGCAGACAACATTCTGATAAGAATGGTTCTGTTACAATGGCCTTATTGTGTGTGTGTGTGTGTGTGTGTGTGCGTGTGTGTGTGTGCGCGTGCGCGCGCGCGCGCGCCAGTCATGTGTGTAGTTACAAACAGACCTGGTTTGGGGCTCAGACCTATCAATCAATTCCTGTCCTTTGGAGCTTCTGAGATACTTATTCCTTTGTTAAGCACTTGGATGTCATTTCCCTAGTGTCTAAGCTTTATTGTAGGAAAATGAAGACAAACTATAATCTCAGCAGGAAATAACCAGAAAATGACAAAAAAAAAAAAAATTGCTCTGGATCCTTGATGTGAAAGTAACCAAGGAGTTGGACTGTCAATAGCTAGTTAGAAGAAATGTCTACAGCTTCCTGTGGGAAGTTCTGACATATAGCAATTCCAGTGGCTCTACTGAATGTAATTTTATTCCTTTAAAAAATTCTTAACATATACTACCAACAAGTTCTTAAAAATCCTTTCTGCCTTTGGCAGTCCTGTGAGCAAACCTGGGATCAAGGCACTATATATTACTAGGCAAGCACTGAGTTATATCTCTACCTTCTAAAATATACCTTTTAAAAAATTTATTTAAAATTTTATGTGCATTAGTATTTTACCTGTATTCATGTCTGTGGGGGTGTTGGATCCTCTGGAACTGGAGTTATAGACAGTTGTGAGCTCATATGTACGTGCTGAGAATTGAACCCAGATCCCCATGAAAGAGCAGCCAGTGCCATCTCTCCAGCCTCATTATCCCAAAAGTGCATGTATGAAAATGACCTATTTTCCTAGCTGGTATCCTCTGGAAGCATTGTATGTTCTAGAACTATCCGTGACAAATGTGAAGCATATTTGTGTTTGGGCTGCTCCTGACTACCCAGCATTAGACAGCCTTCCTCAGAAATGCATATAATATCTCCCCTGCTGTGCAGCAGGCTTTGGATCAATGCTCCATGGTGGGCAGCACATTCGGGTGAAACAATTACCAACCCCTCCCTCTCATGTTTCACTCTCACAGGTGGGAGGATGACAGTTTGCTCTGGTGGCCAAATTACTAAATCCTGTACACATCCACAACTTAACAGAAATGGTTATTGGTATGAAAACATTCAATTATACATACAGTTCCATCCATGAACAATTTAAAATAGCCAACTAACTGTGTGATAGGAACTCCAAAGAGACACAAACAAGGACCTTTTGGAAGCACCTGCACGTGCTAATGTCTGAGTGAAGCACTCTTTCTTAAGAAAGGTGAGTGTGCTG